GATAGATAGATAGATAGATAGATAGATAGATAGATAGATAGATAGATTACTTCTGCAGCAGGACAACAACCCCAAGCATACACAAAACCAGAATCTCAACATTATCAGTTGTTTTTCGGATTCCATAGACAGACAGAAGGGTTTAAGAGAAGCTTACATACACAGAAGATCCCGTTTTTGTACTCACTGATGTTTGACCAGCCTACAAGCCGAGTCCCTGTTCAAACTTTGTGAAAATTGACCTAGAAGAATTGATGCTGTCTTGAAGGCAAAGGCTAGTCTCACCACATACTGATTCGATTTAGATTTCCCCTCAGTTTTGTCAAAGTATGAAAATAAACTATCGACATTTCCAATTTTGAAAGAATTCTTAGTTTACTTTTTTCATACCTGCCAAAAACTTTTGCACCTATTTGAAGTCAATATTTTGTGATCAATAACAGATTGTTTTATTCCTCGTATCCAAGTCCTAATCAAAACCTGCAAAGGCTTGAACCGCTGCCCACTACAACATATGATGGAGTGAATTTCATATTTAGTACAATTGCAACATAAGAGTAGATGGATAAGTAGCAGTTCTTCACAACTCACTCATACTGACATCTTTGATGTTACTTTACTTGATGAAATCTCTGAAAAACACACGGCTCTTTTATCATTGATACATGATGAACTCATGAATAATTTACACAGTAAAGACACTGTGACGTTTTATATTCTTTTGCCAAAAATCCACCTTAAATTTATGTCAGCAATATTGAAGGAAACCCAATTAGTTGCTCAATTACCAATTAATTAGCAAATACAACAAAGATGTGACAGAGAAACAGTAGTAGCCCGATGGAAAACTACAGCATATGCATATATACGAGTACAACGATTTAGTATTTAAATGTGGAGTAGTGATTAGACCTTTTGTCACCGCTAACAAATTGTAATTCCAGGTTAAAGTTGACAGCAACCTCAGATTTGCACATTTAATTCAGCGTCTACTATTAACAACTGTTTATGACTAGATTTGACTTTTAAATTTCTGTGTTTGTCTCTTTGAACTTCAGCTTCATAATGTCAGTTTGGCGTTGGACCTTCTGAACGATATTGGCCTTTCCCTGCCCGGCATTGATCCACAAGGTCAGCAAACCCCCCTCATAAATCACAAGCTATCCCCTGACCTGTGTGCAGCGGATGAATTTAAAATCCTGGGCACACACAGGCCTTCCAGTAAAACAATCATAACCAAACAATCTCTCGGGTTGCAAAACAGCAGTGTCAAAATAAATAGAAATATATCTTCTCTCAGAAGCATTTATCTGGATAACTAGGAAATGCCAAAATCTGTTTATACGTTAGGGGAGAGGGGGTTGGTGAGGGACTTAGTAAATCTTCTTTGCCCGGTGGAGGGAGTGTTTGACAGTTGTTTGGAGGGAAACATGGAATTGCTCGCAGAATATGAATGAGCGCGACTCGTGTCTTGATAAGTATCTCTGCGGATGATTCTCTCGGTCCGAGGCCATCATCATTTATTTGGAGAGGAGCAGCGGAGGACACAGACTCAAGGGGACAGTGCCGGAATTCCACTGATAGACACGGGGATTTAACTTTACCCCTCGTGGCTACATCTATTGTATAAGCATTTGTCCGGAGGAGATGAAATCAGTATTCATGAGCGATGCTTGTGTTATATTACTGGGTTATCATGTACATGCCAAAAATACCCCGATTGCATCAGTGTTTTGCAAAACTCATTAGTGTCTGTCACATCCAGTTATCAGATTTCAAATCATAAGATGTCAAACTGATTTGTGTTGGAAACTTCTATTAGGGACCATTCATTTTGAAATGAAATGAGCATTCAGTTGAAAAGCTTTCTAGTATTAGCAGATGCACTGTTTTGCATAATGTGTTCAGCTGTACATTTTTTAAAAAAAGTTGCTGGTTCCCTTTTTTTAATGAGGTTAGAAATGACACTGTCCATATATTGAATCATTGGCATTGAGCGATATGATACCCCCTGACTCATTTAAAGCCATGCTAGTTGATTGAATTACGGGCAACATAAGAGCGTCGTAAGAGAAATTCAGAAAAAAGACTCTTGTCAAATTAAAGAAAGTAGCTAGATTTAGGGTTAGAGCTAGTGCAGTATGCCATGAAATGTTAGTTTATTGAGTATAAATACTAAGGCCACATGTTTAGGTGTTTGCTTTTTGCCACATGGAGTATGTCGAGAAGAGTGAATCAGAGGGAGTGGGTCAGTTACCAACTCGTCTAAGTGTGTGAACCAATCAATAAGAAATGGATCAACTTCTCCTCCGTGCAGATCCATTATTGACAAGTTGGGCTTTTCACAGAGCTTCAGCGTCTTTATCACAAAGACGGAAACTTTCCCACTGCATTGCACACAAGCCATACACACCAACATGTAATTGTAAAAATAAATCCCTCAGTATGGCTAACTCTTAATGTAAGGGCCAGTACAATTAATCTAAGCCAGGGGCAAGTGGCTAATCCAATTCATTTTTAGTGTCTTTTTAATTAACGGTATAATCGCTGTGGTGGAAAGAAGAACCCCAGCACTCTGGGCCTAAAATTGGAGCCTGCTGTGGACATTAATTAGGTTAGTCTGAGGCGGAGTCGATCTTTATGTCACATTCATTCATTTAGTGCATCTCACAATGTCAGGCAATTTTGTTGGGATCTCGTATCACCAAGGACATATTGATTAGGTTTCCATCTAACGTTTTTTCCCCATGCTGATCTATGACCTGTTAGGAATGAATGTGTAAGCAGCTATTTGCTAATGTTGGTTAAAGCTTCTTCATAATCTCTCTGCCTGGGCTTTAAGATACTGAGTGCATTATTTCTCTTGTGCATGTCGTGACAGAAATAGTCTCCCAGAACATTGCAGCCACCTTGAAGATCCTGTACGCCCTGTTCAAGAAGCACAAAGGGAAATGAGAAAGAGGCTCACGCAAAGAAAAAGGCAGCAACTGGAAATACAAACAAGGGTGGGTGGAGCCACCCTTTTTCTGTTTTTCTGATGGGCATTTTTCTGTAATTTCAACATTTTCAAAGGGACATTCTGCTTTCATGGTTTCATTCAGATGATGGCCAGAACTCACTGGAGAATCTACTGATGAACATTTAGCCATTGTAAGATTAGAAATTTGGAAAAACATACATTTCTAAAGTTTTTTTTATGACAAACTTACAAAGTTTGAGTGAAAAAGTAAATGTCTGACAGACATGTATCATATTTTAAAGATGACATCCCAATTCCGAATATTTCATCTAATAGAAGCAGTACTGTAAAGTTCAAGGTTGGGTTAATGGAAGCAGCCACAGCTGCAATTGGCAGAAGTGTATCTGAAAATTAAAAGTAAAATGCATTAAGTAACGGTTCAGACTGGACGACTGGACCACAGGATAGGAATGCATGACTTAGGCAGCTGATGCGAGACAGCTAATGTCCACACACATTTATCGAACTGCCTCTAAAAACTCAATGACATGAGAAAACAACACAAAGTGAAATAATGTTTACCATATGTTTGAAAAATGTAACCTCACTGATGTCATTTGGTTTGAATTACTTGGTATTCCTTCACTATTTTCAATGTGACCAGATGAGCTACATGCATGCTCATCAAATGTAATTAAAGTATGTAGAAGTTTAATCTTCTGACTGATCTTTTCTTTGAGCAAAAAGATTGGTTTCTTTATTGACAGCATAAGAGGTGTCTTGACTTTTCTTTGTTTTCAGGTGTGAGTGCAACTCAGTGAAGTGCTGTTCTCTAGCACATCTATTCAGAGGTATTTTTTAAATCCTCCCCGTATTGAATTTCCCATTCAGTCTGTTGACAGGGGACTATTACTCTTGTCATATCACTCTCCTGTCTTTGAATCTTCTTCTAAAAAGAATGTCAATAGCTGTCCACTTTCTTGAGGGAATTCTATTTTTCTCTTTTTTTCCATTAAATTGTTGCAACTCAGTGTCACACCGTTACAAAGAAGGTGCATCACGCAGCTGAAGACAGAAAACAGACTCACCTCTGAAAATGTTGCTTTTCTTTCATTTCAAATCATTAACAGAAACAGCAGCATACAGTCTGTCTACTGAATCTCATATGTGTAATACACAAGAGTAGAGGATGTGTGGAAGTATGGAATTTTGGCTACACTTAGGTATAAGCATGTTTTCTTTTTCTTCATTCAGTTTCTGAGATGTTTTAGTCGACGACCAGGAAGCCAGTGTTTTACCTTTAACTTAGTGGCTGGAAGATACTCTTAATTCCCAATTTATTTCCCCTGACAATGAAAAAAAGTTGGCATGAAGTTGGTTCCCTTTGCTCAGCTCTAACAGCAACACCTTTTTGTCAACACCTTTTTGTGACTATGATATAAAAAAACTAAAAGAAAAAATGGAAAGCTGCAGTGCCCGAAACATATAGCTGTCACAGATCATTCAAAATGTTAATATGAATGAGTGTGAGTAATACCTGTGTCTGATGTCACAACAAACTTCTGCATCTCTGGAGAGGAAAGAGATTTTCATGGTTGACAACCCTGAATATGAATCTGGAAATCCTTGTGGAATATCAAGATCTGTTATGTCTGCGTATCATGTCGTCTGGAGTGATGACACTATGCGTCCCCCGAGCTTTTACCCTGTTTCACTTAGCATCTTAATGTGTGCTATTAGATTATTACTGCCCGATATTAATGTCTTTAAGCGTTTACCTCTATTGTTTACAGGACTGTATGGGGCAGGTGTTCCTCTCCTATGTTATGACTGTTGTCTGTTAAATGGTCTCTACCCTGTGTCTGCTAAACAACCTGTCTGGCCTAGATTGAGACTGTTAATATGACTTCCTGTTTACTGTGCTTTTTGGACTGCCCTTTGGATTCTGTACCTTTGTTTGGACCGATTACCTACTGATCACCTTCTGTTACCCAGCCTGCCTGTTGTGAGGTGCATTACAGTCCCGTTCTCCGGTACAAATCTCGTTACACCAGTTAAAGACTAATGCGCAGTCAGACTATATCAGTTTCTCCGTTTATGAGTTTTGCATAGCTCTTTAAGGCTAATGTGCATCGAGTGTGCGCAGCAACACTCAAGAATCATTAAGAAGGTTATTATTATGTTTCAAAGGCAATCATTGTAGAGCTAGAGGCAGGACAGGAGGTGTGTACGGAAACCACAGGAGGGAAATGAGTGTTTAGTAGTTTCAATAAATGCAAAGCCCCCTGTGGTTGTGTATCTGTATTTACAATATGGATTTACAACACAAAAAAGACATGATTCATGTTCACATTCTATTAAATACACGCCATGGGACTATTTTTTTTTTCTGATTCACACATTGATATATTTTCTATTTGTGCCATTTTTGTGGGATTTAAAGAATATTTTTTGAATAAAAGAAAGGAAAACAAAGATCTAAGAATATCGCAACACTTTATCCTCTCCCTGCTGTGGGGTTGTCATTTCCACAGGAAATAAATTATACCTGCATTCTTTCTTTGCTGCTATGACCAAAACAGATATCTTAAAAGTGATTTCAGCTGCATTTTGTTTTCTCTTATTCTAATGCTGGAAACTGCCTATCCTGCCAGGGGACACTTGTCCTCTGCATTTGACTCCTCCTCCTTGATATTATTAATGAGCCAGGGCTTTGGCAACAGATACAATAACAGAGGAAGTATTTTCAAGATGGAGGTCACAGATGGCAAAATAAAATCCCATGGAATTAAATAAAAACAACAGGTACAGAAATCTGTCTTTGTTTTCTCAATATGGCTCAATTTACATTTTTAAAAAATAGCATCTGACATAATTTGCATGAACTAATTTCAATTTACAAGAACATTTTCTACCTTTTAACATGGCATTTCTGATAAGACCACTAGATGACACATTTGAGAGCAGATGGCCAGTGTTTTCCAGGATTGTGCTAATCTCAAACATCTGTCAGAAAACTTGTGCAGCAGTTGGGAGATTACAGGATGAACCACCTGTAAGGTGCAGAACTGAGCAGCCGAGGGAGCAAAAGTAGGAAAGCTTATGATGATCTATACTGATGCAACACATGAGCTCTTGCTGCAATCTCCATAACTTGTTTCTATTTGCACCAGAGGAAACCCTGTCAGTGGATTTTGAACACTCCCTTACCACAGACTTTTCATGCTCATTGTTTGTAAAAATGTAAAACAGATGGAGAAGAATAATAGAATTTTCCTTCTAAAAATAATCACCATGTTGACTTGAAGCAAAACGGATACATTTCTAAAAGTTAGCTCATCATTTGTCATCCTGTCTTATGCACAGTTCTTCCTTGTGGCATTTAATCTCAATTTCCTTTTTCTGTATGCATTCTGAAGACGTGAATAAGGGAGCAGTGCCTCATAGTTACCTGTGTTTGGCAAGCGTTTGCTTTGACTGATTTATCCAGTGCGTCGTGTTTGTCTTTGCTGGATTTCATCAATAATTATGTAATTCACAGAACTGGCTGTGTCACTCTGGTCTGCCTGACAAACACTGTGAGGAGGTTTTGAATGCAGGGAGCCAGGCGGAGGACAGTGATAAAAACAAAACAGTGAAATAAAGTGGACCTTTGAGCAGGAGCACCACTGGCATGAAGCCGATGTTGAAAAGCATTTGAAAGAAGGCTGAAATGTGTCATTGAACAATACATTCTTCTTCTATTCTTTGATGGAGATGTTCATATTAATCAATTGCCTTTTTATCTTTTGTGGCGCTCAGATTTTTATCTCTGGCCTCAAAAAGTTCTAGAGGGTGTTGAGAGAAAAGTAGTTCTCAAGGACTTTGCTTATTTTATTTGGCCTTGAATTTAAAAACCTGTTACGATCTAGATTAGATACCCCAAAGAAACTATAGGAACAAATTATTTCAATCAAATATGATCCAGCGTCTGCTGGAGTGAATGCGGTTCCTTTCAAATGTCTGTGAGGGGTTGATATTAGAGGTCTGTCTCGTCAGTGATGACATCCACTTAAAAGATTTTTATATGGATAAGTATCTGATTATTTCCCCAGGGTTTTAGAACGTAATTTTATCGGCCATTTTGAGCCTTGGTGAGAATTTTTTTCACAATGCGAAACAAGGTTTTCCGCCACAAGGATGTGAAATGATCAGATTTTCTCATTGGATATTTTTCTTTACTTCACTGACCTTTAACTTGCTTTACTTAAATCCAAACAACTTTGCTGTGAACACGGTGTTGTGCAAGCTAGTCTGGCAACATCTGTCAGGGCCCCTCAGGAGGCTTTTGTGGAGAAGAGGAATGTCTCTGCTTCAAGGTGGCAGGAAGCCAGCTACTAGTTTCTGCCTTTGTCCCCTCAGACCCGTTTGTTTATCTCCATCCTGTCAGAGTTGTTCCCACCTGCTGCATCACCTCACAAAAGTATGACTTTATGAGCGAGCTACTACAGCTAATATAAACAGTGCATGTGTGTTCATCCACTTTAGGCGGTACTAGTGTGTTTGGGCTTATGCATAAACAATGAGACTGTGTGGTATTCTCTTTTAGCTCTGCTCTGTGTCTCTTCAGTTTCTACACAGCTATACTTAGCAGAGGCGGCATCAATATCAGTGAAAAATGCATTTGAAATGAGTGACGGCATCAGAATATTATTTTGGTTACTATTTTGCACAGATTTTATTCACACTGAACTCTCGAGGACTCCCAAGCTAGATTTGTTTAAGGAAATATTGGCTTTTGATATGTAAACATGCCTTCACAAAGAGCATTTGCATAATTGTATGCCTGTAATATTGGCTTCCCAGGGAGCATCACAAACATTTCTAGCAAAAGCAACACATTTATGTAACAGCTTACTTTTCCTTCACTCACACCAACGTATCCAATGCATCTCCACAGCAGAGCTTCTGTTTCACTGTGACCTTACTCCTACTCTCTGCCTCCATTATATGTTAATGCTAATTCACTCCTTATTAATTTGACATGGTATTTAACAGAAACTATATGCTTGCTGACTTACATATTTGTGAGCTTAGTATACTTAGTATTTGATATCCTGTGTAGCTAATTATAGTTGATTGTGATTTGGAAAGAGAGCCTTGAGCATCCAAGTTTTTTATCCATCACTGTTTCTCCAGGCTTTCTTTTTTATTTTGAACTTGCATGAGTATAAAGATTGGCAACACAAAAAGACTTGTACTTGTATATTGAATGGCTACTCCATGACGTGATGAACTAAGCTAAATCTGAAAAAAATACTGATATGTTCCAGACTTTGCAATTTACCTGATAGGAGAAACGTATTAGCAGGTGACTTGATAATGGAAATAGGCACTTCCTGAATACATAAAAGCACATTCACACAGAGGAAAGGATATAGCCAACCTCTAAAACAAATGATTATATACTTTGCACTGGTTATAGGTTGTTGTTTATCTCTACAGAGAGAAATTAGTTTAAGTCTTAAATCATTACAAAAATGACAGCATAGATATAAGCGTCAGAGGGATGTTGATGTGCTCTCAGCATCATACAAAGATCTAGACTTAGCTGTGGAGCCACGGCCTGATGGAGTTTTAATAGATAAATGTTTGCAGGATGTGTTTCAGGATCTTCAATAACAGCAGGATGTAGATATCCAGACAATGGTTTTTAAATGGTGATAGATGGATCCAATTGGTCTCAGAAGCACAAATGGGAAGAGTGTTGGTTAGTGGTATACAGGAAGTAGGAAGAATATAAAGTATCATGGTTAGAAAAGAAGGCAGGAAAAAGCAGACTGATGGCAGGATGGCTGGCAGAGGTGGGTGGGAGCGAGGTGAAAGTGCACATCAGAGCTTATTAATGGACCTCAAACGGACTTTGACGAGTTCGTAACAAACTCTTTTATTGGTAGGGACTGCAGGCGAGCAGCAGGAGTCTGATCTGAAGTGGGGTGTTGATATGGCCTGTCACTTTCTGCCCACTGGCTTAGTTTTCACCCTCAGCTCCTTGTTTTAATGACTTTCCCATGTCGTCTAGTTCTTTGGCTTAGCTGCTTTCAAAATGCTCTTTGTCTGAAGGATGGACGTATTGTTTTGTGGTGTATTGACATTAGGAGAAGCCAAACATGCACACAGACACACACACACAGACTGTTGGTATTGTGAGTGTTGGTATGCAAGCTGAAGTTGTGAGAAAAGGAGACATTTAAAGGGAAGACTTATAGATGAGCTTTCTTAAATAATTCACATAACAAAGTTGTATACTTATATATTTTATGTGCAGATATGAGACCTGCCTTTCTATTTCAGATGGCAACACAGCGTTCCAACCGACTGGTAGAATTGTGTCGTTTTTAGCCTATTTAAATGTGTTGCACAACATATGTGAAAAAACAAGATATTCAGTCATATTTTGCATTTAAATGATGACTTTGTACAAACCTTTCTTAGTTCAGGTATCAGTAAAAAGTGGAGGCACAGACATTTAAACACACTGGAAAAGATAAAACTTTATTTCTCCCTGTTGTGACAATACAAAGTCAACAAGTGCAATAACAATCCAACTGAAAACATTACATTCTATCTAAATACATAGACAGAACGTGGTGCACATCATCTTCATCACCACCACACCCAAAAAATGTGAGGTATCAACCACTACAAAGCTTCTGTGTACAGGTGGGTATTCAACTGTAAGGCAACTGTTACCATGACAACCTGGAGAGACTGAAACAGATGTTTGCTTCTTTCTTCCCGTCTTTTTTTTCTCCTTTTTTGAAACATAGGAAGAGGGTTTGGCTGATACAATTTACAGTACCACATCACATCAGACCAGAGTCAAGACTGTTTTCAACTAAATAGAAAACATCACAAAACCAAGTCATAACATTAAGAACAGGGGACGATACCCCATATGTCTTATGGAATATCCACTCTGGACCCTGCTTCTGCGAGTCAGAAGCTAAGTAAAAACTTTTAGTCACTGGGTTTGACTTATGTTTTACCTAATAGATTTGGAGAACTGGCCTTCTTGTCCTCATTACAGGTTAAAACACCTAGTATGGTGCACGGACAAGCAATATGTTCCTTTTCTAACACATCACCTTGAAAAAAAAAAGTATCCAGCATTGGGGATTAATTAAATCTTCCAAGTCCTGCACCTGTTAAAAACTTCACCTCCCTTTTTTGCTGCTGCTATTCACACTCTGGGAACAAGTGAGAGTCATTTGGAGCCACCTCTGGGCTCTGGGCCAATTAGTTCACTTGGACACTTCCAGCCTCTCTGCCCGTAGAAGTGATGGCACAAATCCGCAGGGACGTGCATGCAATTAAACTTTAGTAAGGTAAAAGGGAATTCATTTGCTCTAACAACTAAGCAAATTTGAATATTATCATCGATGACTGAGGATGGATGTGGCAGGCCTATAAAGCTCCATTTAAGCTCCATGAAGCGTGCAGGTGAAACATGGAGGTAAGAGTTCAGTCCTCCACATGGCTCTACTCTACCAGCAGAAATTTAGGAGAATCTGTCTTATTATAGCCAATTCTGGACTGTGATTGCTATCTGGTTTGGATTTGAGCAGACTTGCAGGACTGACTGCTGCCAGATGACGATTTGCAGATGCAAGATTGGAACAGACGACCTCCTCCTGTTGTACCTGACTGCTGTCTCTCTGCTCTTTTACGATCATAGCTGCAGAAACTGAGGCCAAAAACAGCTTTGTGCATTTTTTTCCCACAGAAAAAAAGGTGAACTGGATTTTACAGAGTTTTGCAATTCAACCTTTTTAACCTGCAATTATTTGTTTTTAATGAATTCTAAATGAAGAATTTACTAACTCTTGACTTGTTCCTTTTTATCTATTAACTATGAGTGTACTGAAAAACTCAACCGGGAGCAAATAGCTGTGACAAAAATTGCTTTTGGGAAATAAAACCGTTTTTTGTTTTTTTCTGTTTAACATTAAAAATGCAGAGCAATTATTTGATAAATGAGCAAAAGAATAGACTAATTAACAACGGCATGTTAGGAATATGTTGATCCACAACACCTCATTTTCACTGTTTTTTGGCTGATGGTGGCGTAATGAAACAAGTAAATGAGTGAAAAGGATGAATAGGCGTAGATTGAAAGTACTGTTGGAGCGTACAATTAGAATAATAATAATTTAGGTATTTCCCTTTAGCAAGGCTCTCATAGAAATCTTTCGAGGTCTTTTTTAGGGTTAATTTATCCTGGAACTCTTTGGGCACATTTCACTGACCACCTTCTTATCAAACGTAGGCTGACCCTATGCATATGAAGCACACCTCAGGGATTTTCCAGACATGACCATATGACTTCTACACACCCTATGTATCTGCCCTGTAATTCAACTACTGTACATTATTGCTGACAGTGATGGGGATTCTAATAGATAAAAAAAAAACATTTTCTAATATGGCTAATTGCTTAAAATGGAAAGTTACCAATTGAGGACAGGGAGTTTTTCTTATAAAGGAGCTGACGGGCTGATCTTTTGCAATATATTGCTAATGAATCTGCTTTAATGCAGCTGTAGGGGCATGAAAATGTCACATCCAAACTACAAGTAACTGCTTGGGCTTGTTGTAAGTTTGTAGGGCTCATCCCCAAGATTAAACAGTAGTGTGTCACTTGGCATGAAGCTCTTTGCTCTTGTGAAGGCATCCCTGATCCTAAATCGTCTTTCAGCTGAAGAGATAGTACTCTTAATGACTTCATGTTTAGATTTTGAACCATGAGCAGTTAATCTGCATGGCACTAAGCTCTTGTCAGAAACAGTTCAGAGAAATCACTTGTTTTGCAGAAAAAGAGACCAAAAACATTTCATACAAGATACTGTTTTTCAGCATGAATGCAGAGACATTTCGTCTGGTTTCAGCAGGTAACAAAAACGTACTACATTCTAAGTGAGATGCTCAGCATCAACCTAAGGTGTTACATGTTCAGAAAGTTAGCCACTCAAATATTTCTCTGACTAATTCACATAAATAAATCACCAAATAGATAATTCACAACTGTGTCTAACTGCTACTGAACACAAAGTGACACAGCAGTGTAATAAACATGTCATATCTAGAAAGATTAGAGTTTTCTTTTTTCTTTTTTTTCCCCCCAAGACAGCCGCAGTTCTTCAGTTGTGAGGACAGCTTATCCAGTTGGATTTGAATTGGTTTGGAACAACGTGGGTAAACGCTACAACTTTTTGAAAAGTTAACTGTCTTTCTTTGTCCTCTGCTTTGATAGCAGTAGTTATAGAATCCTTTTGTTTGTTGGGTTCGTGCCGGCCTGCTTCTGTTAGTCCTCCGCTGTATTGTGCTCATTAGAAAGGGGCCGTAGTCGTTACAAACTACTGTAGAATCGCCAGGCCAACTGTGGTTTTGTGTCATCTGTCTGTCGGTCTGGCTGTGGGGCATCTCCTTTGTACCATGTAAGGAAACCAGGTTTTGCTACTCTTCTGTTCGTCCACTCGCAGCATCATTCTGACATGAGAAGAGAAAAACAGATATCCATCAGGGAAATAATTGATCAAGATAATGTTTTAATTTTCTAACTTATAATAGAAGTTAATATTTATATAGTTAAACAACTCAATAATATTTCTATCATGTGACAACATTTGGCTTTTCTGTATTTGGTGCAGACTAACGTCTGGCATCCAATGAGATAAACAGGTGGTTCTGGTTTTGTTCTTGATGTGGATACTGCCTCTTATTGCCCTGGTTAAGAGCTGGATAAACAACATGAATAGAAACCACCAGCTGTCTGTGATTTAGGGGTCATCTCCGGTCCAAAATATTTTCCTTTAAAGCCACAGCCGACAGTCCTAATTTAACTTCTGACAGGGAAATGAAATGTTGAGTTGTAAGGATGTGAACCACCTACTGACAAGATGATTACATGGTGCTGTGCTTGCCAGTCTGACACAGAAATACTGATCTGTTAAACTTGTCAAAAGGACTGACTGGTTACGCAAAGCTTAATCAAGATTTGCAATTAAATCCCTAATTTATATTCAAGTGTATTTTAGTATGTTGAAGATTTACCCAAATGAAACATTCCAAAGTACACTGATCTTTTATTCTGACACTCAAGCTGGCAGAATGTATTATCCTCAGTTCACTTCATCACTCTCTAAAACACAACCATTCACACAGAAAAACAGGAGAAGACAAATACCAACACATGTGTGCTCACACTCACACCAAGGTGTCAAACTCGGGTCCTTACGGGCCGCTGTCCAGCAGGTTTTAGACATTTTCCTGCGTCTATACACCTGATTCTGATTAAACGGATCTCCTCAAAACATTAAGCTCTGCAAAGGTCGGCACCTGATATGAATCAGGTGTGTTGAAGAATGGAAACATGGAAATCCTGCCGGACAGCCGCCCTCAAGGGCCCGAATTAGACACCTGTTAGTCACCTGGAGAGAACCCATGCATGCATGGAGAGAAAGCGAATTAAAAAGAAATGCAAGTAATTTCACCTGTTAAATCAATGATACTCATTTTAAAAAAGTTAGGGAACAAATCAGACAAAATCTTATCAAATACAAACTCTTTTTTTAGACACACAATCTTTGCTGTTTATCCCCTAGACTTGTGTTGATCTGAACTGTGAACAACAAAAACACTGATTCTATGAAATATAATAGTTTATGAAAGTCTATAGTCTATGAAAAAACAACAACTAACAACTAATTTCATTGGAATCTTTGGAAAAGCAAAAAATCCTTGACACATGCAGACTAAACGAGCAACGGTTCAAGTCCTTATTTTTAAAGTTCTCCCACAAATTGGTGGCCCAGAATTAAAATGTTTTAAAAAATGCATGATTTAAGCTTTTAATACTCAGCAAAAATAAATTTTAGAGCCACGCACGCCCATGTCTGTGTTATCAAATTTTACTGAGTCGACATGAAATGCTGTCTGGGATCTTTCTAAAGAACACAGACGCGGCTTCATTTCTGAAATAACAAGGTGTGTGCTTTGTGCCACATGTTCCACACTCATCTTTATAAAAGAGCATATTGGCTTGAAATTCAGCTAAAGGCCTGAAAACACGAAGACTAATAAAATGGGGCGGCCTTGCTTTTCAAAAAGGAATCAGATTTACAGGAATATTTTAGAAGCCTGTAAGTCTTGTAAATACTCCAAGTCTACCGCAGTTCTATGAATCACATCAACCAAATCCATCTCTTTTGCCCAGAATAATAGAACTACGTGTCCACTGAGACGGGAAAAAGAAGTCTCCACTTTTCTCATCTTGTTGATTATTTACGTAACTTTATGCTGACAAAGAAAATGATTCAGTTCAAGTTAAACCCAACAAGGTCAAAAGGCCTATAAAAAAATTGCAGGTACTATTCTTGCTTTCATAAATTTTACAAATAAAAGTGCAACTTTCTGGGAGCTAACCCTGTTCACCAGCACTTTCTCTGTAGCAAAAGTTCTTTGTGGAATCTATGATGCTGATTACCTCCCACCATGAGGAAAGTGGTGCATTAACTGGATGTGAGCCTGTTTACTCATGTAAACAGATACAGTTCCATTATTGCTGCATACAAAAAGCCTGAGATTTCAAAGATGTATGTGGACGAGCAGGAAACAGGGCAAAGCTTTCACCATCTGACATAAAAAAATTATGAAATTGTGTTTCAACCCCTCTGCATTGAGTGTCATTGTAGCAGATGTTGGAGAACAGACTAAGGGATGCTCACCTGTGAACAAAACAAGTGATGCAACAGACAGACCGCGTGCCTGATGGAGGCTGCGTTTACTACAGGCGGATAACGCTGAGTCACTGCGGGCTGTCTGAAAGCGGCAGTGTTACGATGGCTGGTGAGTCAGGTGGACGCTGAATGTGGTGACAGATGCCATCTCACATGGACCACTCCACCCGTGGATAAGCTCAGCCGGCCCTCCGAGCAAACAGCCCAGAGTGAGGGGGTGGATACTGGCATGAGGTGCCTCTTCGACTTGATGCCGAATAGTTTATCAGTTGCCAGTTGCCAGCGGATACGCTGACAGTTCTGGTTGATTTGCAGTGGTGCCATTTGATGTTAATGCCGCTCAACATCCAAATGATCCGACTTTTTTTATCTCTGACACTCCCGGCATATACTGACTCATAAACCCATGGTGAGTCATGCTTTTTTAAAAATGACAAAAAATCTGGAACAGATTATGTTTTATGTGGATGAAATATGGATTTTTTTTTTTTGCACAGTAAGCCTTAATCATCACTGATTTAGTATAAACTAAATTCCGTCTATATCTGTATACATCTGTATATGTATAACAGAGTGCATGGGATTCTCACTGCCTGCTCCTTCCAGATTAAACATTTCCAGTCAACCCTCCTGCTGGCCCTCACTACCGCAAACTAAGAGTCAAAGAATACTTTCAGCAAATAAAGTCCCACCTTTAATATAATGAAAGCCATAGGTGAACATTCAGCCAATGCTGTGATGTGCAAAGCAGCAAGTGGGTTATAAAACAAAGACAGAGGGGGGTCACTATTGTATGGATCAATTTATTGCTTAGGGATGTTCTGCATGGTCCACCTTTTTCAAATAAGCTGATCACATCCAAAATATTTGAAGTAGAATATTACTTTTTTTTCTGAAGTCTGACTTGTTTCATTCTCTTGAATAAGTCAGGTGAACTTGGAGCGCTTTTAGGCAAAAAATAACCATCAAATACGTGCTTTGGGAAAAAGAACATTGGGCTGCTGCTGCAAATGAAGTGCCACGTTTCCCCCGTGAGTTAACTCCCATCTGGTGGCCATTCGCTGTTTGCGAGGAAACACGGCAGCTCTCTTATAAAGTTTTTAAAAAAAAAACACTGTATGGAGCGTGATCGCTGTTTTCTCTCTTGCCTTCTTTTTATTCATAATCTAGCGGAGAATGTGAGTAAGGTTTGCTTTATTTGTTCAAGCTGAAGTAAATACGTGAACAGGAATTTTTAATAAAGGGTATCCATGGAGAGAAAGCAATAACAGGATCCTCGGGCCGCCTACACTGAAACCCCCAGCAGATCCGCCACGGCGCATACCAGCCTGCTCACGTAGCCACATGGGAAGCGTGGTAGCTTCGATTTGCAGTCGAAATTGTTCCGCGGCGCTGGTGACCGCTCGTGGTGGAGTCCCTGAGTTTTCTGTGCGACCGGTTTGTTTTTAGATGGCGCTGCTCAAGTTTTGGGACTCGACCCCATCTCTGTTTGTTTACATTTGGCCGGCAGATGTTAAACTGAGAGGACCCAGTTTTCTGAACCTTTGCCTTCCTCCTCTCCAGGGATAAAAGCGCTGTACCCCTGCAAATCAAACGCAGGCCGGTGGATGACGCACTGAGTGGGCAGCATCAAGCGTGGCATGCATTCAGTATCATCCACTGTCGCGTCTTAACACTTTAAGAAAAAGTTAAAGCATTAGCTGGATTTTGAGAAATGCTTAATCATGTGAAACTGTACAGAAGCTATTCTAATCTCGTCCCAGAAACGGCTTGTGACTGAATCTAGCGCCAAGAGTCTGTCACTATTTTTTAACCTGATGTAAGTGTTTGTATAAAAGCATTTTTAGGTCTTAGTAAAGGCTTTTCTGTTTAATAAAAAGGGGAAACCCTTATTATGGAAAGAGATGTTGTGCAAGATGTAACCACATCCTTCCAGAAGCAGTTCCTGTTTCTCATCACCAGCACAAATTACCACAGAACGGGCCTGATCTCATTTTTCAGGCCTGCCCAGTTAGCTGCCGCTTCAAACACCTTGACAAGCGCTGCCTTAAAGCTGGCACGCAGCCAGGCCTGCCCAGGATTGATGAGTCCCATCACACCCAACAGGCTTCATGTCTAATGAGGAAGCTCCACGGATGTGTTCAGTTTAACTTAACCATGTTTCCACCAGCAAAGCGGTCCCAAGATCCCGTCTGCAGCATCCCATGCTCTTCCATCTCTAGCTCGCACAGTCCAGAATGCTTCTCGGAGCTATTTGTCACACCCTCAGCAACATTGAATTACCATGACCCGCGAGAGGAGTCTACCTCGAGGAAGAGGCTGAGCACCAGTCAAACAGAGAGGGCATGCAGTGTGTGAGACAAAGTCGTGAGCAAAAAAAAAACACTGCACAAAAGTCTCTGTTTGTTTCCGGCTGTGCTGATTGTGTAGCTTTGTCATCAAACTTTGAACAACGGCAGGCAGAAGAGGCAAAGTTTCCTGCAACTGCAGCGCGCCGAAGTTCACGCTTGGCCTCGTAAATCATCTTGTTTGTCTTTACAACAGTCACATGTAGGCTCGCACGCCTCGAGGCTGCTCCCCAAGGTATTAGAAAGACACATTGCATGAAAAGAAGATGGCGTTTTATCAAAGTGACTCCAGAAAGGGTTTCTTCTGTGACCCAGAATCTGCTCATTCAAATTAAACAGAGTAATGGGCCGCAGGCAGGCAGCAGAATCTACACATTATCCAGTTTTATCCTACTTATTGGAATGGCTGAATGAGCATGATGGCAGAGCAAGAAAATGCATTTTGTTTGAGTTTTGTGCAACAAACTGCTGCTTTTGGATAAAAGTGTTGACAATCAGGCGCTTTGCAGAAAAGTTAATCTGAAAAACTGTAAACTGCGATGATCACTGGTTGGAGGAAATGTTTTTTTTAATGCAATGTCTTTTTCTTAACCTTTGCACTTTGCTCTCAAAAAGGAAACTCAAAGAAATGGGGATCTGGATGCTGAAGCTTTCTCTCTGTTGACTTAAGGGAAACTATGACAAAAATGTTAGAATTTCTCTGATTCCCTGCCTCGTGGGTCTTGATTTAACAAACAGAGATGCAGACATGGATATGAGAAATAGAGGGAATATCTGCAGATTTTAAATAAACCACATTTCTTAAAATAACCAGATTACTAGTTTCAAAGCTTCTGATTCATTCTTGGAATTTGGTTTAATGATGCATAACAAATCACAATGTGTAATTGTCTGTTCGTGGATAAGTAAAACATTGACTGTAGCATTGACGTAGCTTTAGTTTTTTTAAATTCTGTCTCTGTTCCATTACATTTAAAAGATACTAACTTAATCCAGACTGACAAGGTTTTAGAAATGCGATACATCCCATAGATTTAGGTCCCTTGCCACCACTGTGTTAAACGTATTCGGACAGGCACTGTTGTAAAGGAACAATTCATCTGTGGAGGCTCACAGTGAACATGCTGCTGATGTTAATTGAATGTTTACGTTCGTCAGGGAGGGCTAGAGCAGCATGCTTCATTTACAAAACATGGATTTGACAACCCACACCTTGCTGAGTGGGTTGTCAAAGTTCATAATCTGCTTTGTGGTGTTATCTGTACACTGGAGGGAGTACTGGAATAATGGGTACGCTAGCACAAAAACATTTCAGCCAACTTCCTCAAATTCCTGGAGAACAAAAATGAGGAGAGTCTGCAAGGAACTTGCCGTTAAACGTGTGTTAAAGCAAAAAAAAGTATCAGCGTCTACCACAGCGCAGTAGCTTCAGATATATATCCATTTATGTTACATTCTATTTCATTGCTCCACCAGTAGAATAACACCTCTTTTGCAAGCCTTTGCTAAAGTTTATGAGTTCTATCAATCAATGAATTATACTTTATTAATCATTTCCCGGAGTCCTGTAAAGTTGTTGGCATATTTAAATATTTTAGGGTTTCGGTTGTTTCTTTTTATCACTTTGTTGATATGGAACAGCATGGTAATGTTCCATGCGAATGGAACTCTAATTGGACGGGTTGCAATATACCAGGTCAGACAATAATCCTGATTTCAAAATACATTCAATATTGATACTGCATTGAAAATGCCCATCGCAGCATGGAGATGGATTTTTGGGCCATTATTAAAGAGGATAATAATTCAGCTGCCAGCAAAAGAGACACGCTTGGGATTCTTGTTATGGTAGAGCTTTGTGTTTTTTTACCTCCTTTTGGCAGCCGTCACATGACAGAGAGCCACTCACCATGCGGTGGAGGTGGTGTAGGGCAGGAGCGTGGGGCTGTGGCTCTCCCCTCGGAGGCTGTGTCTGGGCTGGTAGTGGCTGGGAACCATGGGCTGGGCTTGAGCCTGGGCCTCGCTCTCCTCTGGCATGGACCTGTGCCACTGATTCCGAGCCTTCTTTAGCCAGCGTCCACCCAGTCCCCACTTCTCCAGATAGATCCGGCACAGCTCGTAGTTTATGGCTGAGTAGTAGAGAAAGTCCAGGGCCAGCAGCACCATGACAAAGAAGCCGTAGATCCACACGCCGACCAGGGCTGTGTAATTACTGCAGAAGAAACAGACTGGGAACATTAACACGGTTTGATCTGGGAATAAAAAGATATGATAAACAATCTTCACATCCTCAAAGCTTTTATCCAAATAGCCTTTAAGATGAGTCTTTAAATCCCAAAGGCTATGATGAAGGCTGCCAGGTGTGAATGTTTGCTGTTCACGTTGGAAGCCTAAGGCGTTCATCAAACCCAGCCTTTCATGGAAGAAAAAAAAACAGCAAGAAAGATATATTAAAAACTCTCCATCTGTTCCATGTGTTGCTTCTTAAGCCCAGCGTCCTAAATTGGACAAAGAATTTCATTACCACATAAGACTTTTTTAAATCCGTCTCACTTTGGCTTCCACACAGTTTCTCTGAAAATCTAAGCTCTTATTTTCACCTTCCATGAATTTTCCTCATGTATTACATGATCCAGCTGGATTTATGTGGGGCACATTTGAACTCTGTTTTCATCCACCCACATCAATAAAGTACAATAAAGTAAACAGGCAGCAAAAGCAGCACAAAATGGCTCCAAAGGAACTTAAAGAATGAGCATTTGAAAAACGTAGATATTACATTACCTCTGGGTGAGACATTTTGACCTGGACTAACACCGAGGGCATTTGGTTGGGCAATATCACACAAACGGATTAAATAGAAAAGCATCTTGACTCAGATGCAGAGATGGCACAGCGTGGAACCTCAAAATAGAGATTCATGTGGAGGGAAGCATCTTTTATTTTCCACACAGAGCTATACCAACGTCTGCACTGATTAAGGCTTTGATAGATAGTGAAGTCAAAGTGTTTCAAGTCGTAGTTAATCAAAAGAATACTCCTAGGTCTGGAAAAGATGCAGCCTTAGAGACATTCAACTGACTAAATTTGTTTAAAATAAATATATGATCTGCACATATGAGTACTGCATGAATGCCACTGATGCTTTCAAATCTAGAAAAATGCATCAGTGACTGTTTACATTTCCTCCCGTCTGAATCTGACACGTCTACCTCTAATATAGTTTAAGTGTATCACCACATCCTGAGGGATATATAATCATATATTATTTACTTCAAAGGTAAGTTCAGACAATGTGTAGAGCCCTTGGAGGGATTTATCACAACTGAAACTGATGATATTAAATATTTACCACTGCTTCTTCTGAGAAAGAAATGCGATTGATTATCCGTCAAAGATTTATGCTCCTTTTTTGTTTTTTTCCCCAACATTTATTCCAAGAAAACACTGTCTGTTTTATTCCTGCACCACTTTTATTACACGGTAAGGACATGGAATTCTAGTCCTTATGCTACACTGCACAAACCAGTGAAACCCTCGATAGGCCAAACGCTCCCAATTTGAACTCAAGAAGTGGTGAATCTCAAATGTATAATGACATTTTCACCGAGCAGTGTGAGGGGAGAGCAGAGTTTTGACCAGCTTTGGCTTGGCCTGTGGTAAATGTCAAATCTGCTGCTCTATCAGCCACCGCGCCAAGATGAAAGAGTGGCCCAACATGCTAAGTGACACTAAAATGAAATATCATGACCTGCTGTGGGGCAAAGCAACCCATCCAGGGTGGCGGCATGCTGGGAGGGCATTTGTACAAAGAACCTGGGTTTTGTCATCCAGACTACCCTCTGAGAGCTCTCACAGAACAAGAGGATATTTAGTCTGTCCTTTTCTCCACTTAAATCACCTTATCCTGCTTCACAAGCTTGCCCACATGTTTCTAAAATGTCTTCTAAAACAAAGAAAGGCATAAGTTGCACACTGTGGCTCCATATGCGTTTTATTTATTGATCAAGGTAATCCTCAAGTGCATTGTTCATAGGGCGAGCACACTGATGCGTTAAATAGTGCACGGCCATATCACGCATCGGATAATTACCAAATCTTATAATGCAAAGTATCTCCAGTCACTTTAGTGATGAAGAAAACAACAAAACATAATAATGGCATATGTGACTAACAAAAACAGCATCATATCTTGCCAGTGCTGGTAGCTTGTTAACCTTTACAGCTTATTTTATTAGACCAATAGCAGAAAATCTTCTCCTTGCCTTTCAAAAATGACACAACGCGTTTGTCGTGACCTTTTCTGAGGTAAGGGGCTATATTTAGTGTATTTTGATCTAAATGCTGTGTTTACTTCTAAAATACACGCCGAAGGTATTCGGCTCTTAGATTCTTTCATGCAATTCTTTCTTCCATAAGAAATACACCAGTAGGCTGTTTTTTTGCTTTCATTCTGTAATGTGTGTATAGGTTGCATGGAGGTTTATGGAATCTAATTATTGCTTCAAAAGGACACTCATGGAAAACGTACTTGTTGATGATTCTCACACAGATCCATTCAGTCAGATAGGGAACTGAAATACCTTTTTTTTTTATCTGTCCTTCCGAAAGTGTTTATTCTTAAGGGGAAATCCCTGTGGAGCCAGTTTGTGACGCTTATTTTCAATTTTTCTGTGTCCTGGAGTGAGTTGTGAAGTTCGCTATTGTTAATATTTCACAGTTCTAGCATTCTTAAAGAGTACATTTGCACTGTGATACATAATAGAATACCATATAATAGCCACCACTTAACATCTGAGCTACAGTATCATGTGTAGGCGTCTCGCTCACAACAACTTCTTTTAGCATCTGCTTTCCTCTGTGGCGGTTTTGAGTGCCTCTGCTGGCAAAGATCAGTGTCAATGAAGCCTCCCAGCAAGAGGCGAATGGTGTGAAGGAATAAAGTAGCTGTAAAGTAAGTGAACTGCTGGTGACTGTTCAGATCTTTTATCAACTGGAGCAAAGAGAATATGATCCATACAACTGTGTGCTCTTGCATAGGTTCCTTAATGTTCAGTGCGATTAATTATTTTTCTAACCATGCGTGCCAAGAGGCTCATTATTTGGAAATGCTTGTTAGTCTTTCAGGGTACTTCAGAGATAATTAGTGGATTTCAGTGCAATTTTCACAAAGTTTCATAATGTCAGTGCAAAGGGGCAATTATCCCCTCACTGTTCTGCATTCTCAAAATCAATTTTCAATATAAAGGTTTTGTAAATATATGCCTTGAAAGCATTAGTTTTGTCTGGCATATTCCTGATCGAAGTTGGATTTTCTGTGCACGATTTAAGAAGTGCAGCGGTGTTTTTCTTTCGTTGATCACTCAGTGTATGTAAGGAGTGCACAACAGGGTGAAATCATATAAATGCTCTCTTTCTTTCCATTCTTTGGCCTTTCTTTCTGGAGGCTCTGGTAATAATTACTAATACTGCGTGTGCCCAAACCAACAATGCAAGTAGCATGACAATGGCAGGGAAATCTGTGCTGATTGGGGAATTTCCCAAATTTGCCTCGTATTGTATTTGTATTCAAAAGGATCGGGACATTGAAAAAACATTTTTACAGACAGCATGTATTTAACACGGGGAATAAGCGAGCTGACATGGGTCAGACAGTTGATTTTGGCTCACTTGTGTGCGTAACCGTCTGAGGTGGTGGTGAGGTTGACCTGCATGACCATCTGGAACTCGGTGTCGTTGCAGCAGTACTTGAAGGCGGTGTTGTTATGGTGACAGCAGAACATGTAGGTCTTGTTGTCTGAGAGGCGTGGGCAGTGAAAGCCGAAGTGGTACCGCCCTTTGTGGTCAGAGTAGGGTTCGCAGACTCGGTAATGGGCTGAGAGGGCTGCGGAGTAGGGGGAGACAAAAACCAGTTGGTGTGCGGCAAAAGAAACACGCAAACAGCACAAATGTAGCTCATGAACTTTAACTCAGGAGAGGTGTCTGTGCTCTAATTGTGACCTGTCGGAAAACTGCTTTTAAGGACATGCTTTCCAGCTTTCAGCTGCCATGCTGCAAAACCATAGTAGTGAATGCTATTTGTTTTCTTTGGATGCTTCTGAGCAGATATAACTGGAGAGATTCCATGTAATGATAACGATGTAGGACAAGGAACACAAAACAAGCAGACTGCGCTTGCATAAATAAACACAAACAGACAACCAGTAATGCACAGTGCCAAATTGGTATCAATTTCTCTCTAAGCGGAATACAAACAATTAAAAAACACCCAAGTACAACTAATTTATAAGGTCATTGCATATTGAGTCAGTGCGGCTGGAGAGCTAACCCAAAAACATCATCTCTCAATGGTGTTTTGGTAGAAATCAGAAGAAAGAGTAATCCAAATTAATGCTGATCTGCCAAACCCTTTTTCTATGGTAGCTGGGGCCCCATATGGCTCCACAGTCAGGTCATTATGGGTTAAGTTGCATTGATCAAATTCCAGCATGGCTTACTGGAATCTAAATTTATCAGTACAGCTTTAAGGGGAAATACATCAGTGTACCTTAGCACAATGATAGAAAAAAAAAAATCTGGCCAATCACAAAGTTTTGCCCGACAGTTAATAATAATACTGCATTTTATTTGATTAGTGCTTTTCAAAGTACTCAAAGACGCTTCACAAAAATCTGATTAAAACATCAAATCAGTGCATTTCAGTATGTAATGCCGGACTTTAATTAATTCAATCAAAAAATGTATATCAAATATCACATAAGGATAGAAAGACCTATACGAGGAAGTGCTATTGGACAGGACAATTAACCACAACCTGCTGTGTTTTTTCCCCTGTCTGCTTTCCTAATTACCCCAATCTTCTTAGCCTAATTGCACTTTATTTTGCTAGCAGTATGAACAAGAAAAAACATGGCTGTGCACAAGGAGACATTTGAAGAGTCCTGATGCAAAAACTCCACTCAAGCCATTTATATTCTTACAGTACCCTTAGAGCACTTACACACTTGTTCCCTTTCTAATAATGGGCTGTTTAAACCACAACCTGCCTGTGATTTATGAATCATGCTTATGATATTAACATTATGTGTCACTCAACCTTTACTATCCATATTGTGACCACAGTGTTTAGAGGATATTTTACACTTGGCGGAAATAAAAGATGGGGGCAGGTTCCTCAGCTGCCAAAAGCCAAGAGGCTGGAAGCACCCTGGACACCTCTGCAGTCCATCTCTGGTTTATTGGATTTGTATCACTTAATCTCTGTGAGTGTCGTTTGGAGATCCTGAAATCCTGTTGCTTTGTGCTTCATAACCTTTGGTCAAAGCTTCAAAGTGTGAATTACATGAGGGCTCTTCATGTGAAGTACACTCGTTTGACTTTTGTGAGCGATTTCTCTTTGACTTTTGAACATCTTTTTATCAGCTGAGCCTGGAAATCCGGCAATGTTTTTAAGTGAGAGTGCTTTTGCTGTGATTTAGTTTTAGGCCCACTTATGTAAGTGTTCCAGCACAGATCAGCATTTGATGTAGAGCTCTTTCATGGTATAATAAGGCTGGTGAGGCTGGCTAGATTTGCTTCAGCAAACTTAATCTCAACAACACAGATGGAGCGGAGCTGAAGAACAGAATGGAATTAGGAGTCTGAAAAAGGCTTATAGTGATAGAGAACTTTTTAAAACTGAGCTTTAACTTGGTGAACTGACAGTAAGTAACAATACACAACATGAAAGACACAAGTTCATGTCTCTGGCCCCGCAACAGCTACTTCTGAAAGCATTTTAGTTGTAACACCTCTTGAAATTTAGGCTTCTTTGCTTTTGTTCTGGGACCTAAATGTTTATGATGTGTTCCATTACATACTATATTCCAAGAATTGGCATTTCTTTTTTGTTTTTTAAGCTGTGTTGGTTTTTAAAGTTTTCTTCTGCTTTGAATAAATGTTATATTCCAATTTAAATACCTAGAAATAGTTTGGTTTGAATCCATTATCTCTCACTAATAGTCCCTAATCTATTTAAAAATAGCCCAATGGCTATGTAAATTCATAACCTGATGATCTAAAATAGTCATGTATAACTGAAAAGTTAACCAGAATGGAAAAGGACATCCTTTATCATCCAACAAGTGAGAAAACGATATGTTCCAAAGCTCAGTGATGCAGGAGGTGCAGCTCCTGATGGATGTTAGCCTAATATCCCCTCCTCGCCCACCTGCTCGATGGGGTCCAGAGGGCAGTCCAGCAAAGAGCTGGACCTCTTGATCAGCTTATTGAGTTTCCTCCTGTCCCTTTCTGCCACTTCACTGCTCCAGTAGGCTGCTACGTAAAAGACGGCAAATGCTACCACAGTGTCTTAAGAATCCAGCTCACTTGTGGGTCCTCAGTCTATGCAGCAGAAAAAGTATTTGTTGACCAGTCCAGTTTGGCATCGAGGTATTTGTAATCTACTACATTTTCAATGTTCACCAGTGTGGCGTGAACAAGTACTATATATGAGTGTCATCTTTTTTAGCTGGAATTTAGTTTAACCAGATAATTGTTTACTCAACTGCTTTCTTTTAGAGAAAATAAACACCAAAGACAAATTTGGATACAAATCAAATCAGGAAAGATTTGTAAACACGAGTTATATCTCTGTCTTTAGACTGCAAAAGATATTTTAAATGCATCCACTGCAAATGTATAGCCTGAGATCCATATGCGGCAAATTTCTTTTATGACGCATTCAGAAAATAGTCCTCAACATCTCACATTTAGACTATTATGGCTCTCTGTCTTCTTCCAGCCCCTTTTAGTCATTTTCTTTTCTTCCTTCAAGCACAATATGTATTCCATATATCAGAGTTGAGTGCTGGATTGTGGTAGCTGTAATCCTCTTTGTTGCTTATGGGGTAATGATGCGCTCTCTCACGGTGCACATCATATAGCCTAATTTAAAGAGAGAACCATGTGGTTCAGAGTTTTCCTTGCCAAGTAAAAGTACAGTTTTGGCTGTAAATGTTTGTGAAGTGATTCTGACTCAACTTCTGGCCCTAAGATGTCAACACTAATCCCTGTGTATCCAAAGAGCTTCCTTTGCGTGGGTTGCTGCTTGCATTTAGTCCTTGGCCCTAATGGCTCACTCTGTAAAGGACAGAGATCCATATTTAGGGTTATACAAGTGAACACACCCTGAAACTCTCATGAGTGCTGGCTTCTGGAACGAGATAAGTATGAAAATTTAAAGGCCAGCAAGGCGGGCTCTTTGATCGGAACATGCTGAACTCTACAGACCTGCAGTAGACAGCAGGAGGAAGATGATTGTCAGGACATTGAAGGACTGCCGGCTGGTGATAGTCATCTTCCTGTCTTCATGTGGGAAGAAGGGAGGGAGCAGGAGGGGGGGAGGAGGGGGAGGGCTGTTTTGTTTTAGATAGATGTGAGCATCCTCTGGTTAAGGAGGGCTTCTCTCACATGGCTGCAGCTGGGAGCCAGGACTCCTGATGGGAACAAAACAAGGAGAGGGAGAAAATATTACGATTATTTTTAATTTTGGAGCTTTATCCCAACTCTATGGACAATCTCTCTGGCAAAAAAGCACCACCTAGGCTTTCTGGAATGTAACATATCAAAGCAGAATCTTTAGGCATTTGACTGAAGGAGGCAACAGCTAAAATGTCACTCCATACTTGCTTTTTTTAAGGTTTGGATAAGTCTTCGATCCGAAACAGCACAAAAAAATGACTGACTGAGGAAATTAACATTGAACAGAGGGTTCCTGGCAGCCATGGGGGTGTCGCTTTGACGCGTTCCGTCTACCTCAACGCTGTTTTAGAGGAAGATCACAACAGCTCCTCTCAATAACAGCTTCCTCCCCAGCATGATAATGTACCCAACAACACTACAAAGCGATAAAGCATCCACAGGAAGCGCCACTCCACAATTCAACGACCCAAAGACTCTGCTGCCAGCATCACAGGTTAGAGGATTGCCAGGAGGTTTCCAGTATGATTTGGCATTAATTACAAAAGCCCTCTACAGGGCAGCACACAGGCAGGAGAATCAAATTTCTAATTACAAATGAATAATTAGATGCAAAATTCTCCTGTGAATTCTCATTGTAGCCGATTTTCTAAAAAATATATAATTAGAAGTAATTCACATATTTCTGGGGTATTAAACAATAGTTATTGCCCAATTTTAAATTCTTTTTATCCCTATTCTGGTGTGATGTGAAAGAGACAGACACTTGAACACGAACAAAATGCTACAAGCGCACTAAAATATGATATTCTCAGCAAACATGATGTCTTTTTTTCTTTTTTAATCAAACATTCAGAGAATCTGCTCCATCAGCATAATGTTGTGTTTTGATTGTAAAGCTGCTGAGGTGCACTATGCTTATAAATGATGTATTGTGGGAGTTCATGAATTCCTCCTCCGCAGTGTCACCGCACAGTTACTAATCGAGGTGCTGTCACTGTAATCCATCCTCTGATGATAAGTGAGATTAATGGGGTGGCAGTACAATCGGCTTAGACACATTTGTTTCTGTTCTCGGGCCTATTCTTTCCTCTAATAGATCCAGAATAGGAACTCTACATAAACAGTTCCAGTTGCTGCATTTGTTTTTGATCATTTATTACAAACTCGGCAGATACACCATTTGCACGAAGCAAGCTTTTAACCAGGTTAAGCTTATGTTTATACATGCTTGGATGTAGACAACGAAATCCCAAGATTGGTTGGAAAGAAAGACGAGAAGGAAGATCTGTGATTTTACCCTTGCAATCCAGTTGATCTACGCATGTGCTGAATTGAAAACTGCATGAAAGATTCTATCGGAAATGTTTCCCTAAACCATTCAAGGTCTTAGCTGTGTGTGAATGTAGAGAAATGTTCACATCCTGTCAGCACGCGCTGCATGGAGAGTAGTTCAAAACTTGACTTCTGAATTATTGAGAAGCCAGAGGCAGCTGACAGCAAATAGAAACCACTTACGAAGAACAACATCAAGAGTACAGGAGGCCATCGGTTTTCTTTTCCTTGTGATGAAAAACAATGCAAAGGGGGATCAAATCCAGCTTCCACCTGCTTCATCTTCATCTACTTTCTTTTTTTTAAATATATTTGCATTCTGTTTCTGCAAACCCTCACAATCCAGTGTAGTGAAAAGCGTTCTTTCTTTGAACTGAATGTATGACAGAGACCACCCATGGTCTGTTGCATATTTCACATGCTCTGCTGTGCAAATGAAAGATGCAACAGAGACTGCCATGGTGGGATCTATGGTTATGCTGTAACGCTGGTTCTCTGAGTGAAACAACAATACTGCCACTCTGTTGCATAATTCATTTGTAAGGGGGAATTATTCCCTGAACATACAGTATGAAATATCAGTTCTAAACAGAGCGCACAATCAAAAGAAGACGAGCGTTGATTGGTCCCTGCCTGTGAATAAAAATTACACTTCAGCAAGGAGATCAGCAGCTAGTTAAACTGAAAAATCAACATTGGCTTTACAGAAGCAATCACATCTGCTGGACTCTGCTCAGCATCAGCCGGGAAGAAAATAATTTGTCTTGACAGATGAATACAAAAGCTAAGCTTCATCTACTTGAAAAAATAAATCAACCACTTCCATGATGATCATTGCTAACTGTTTCTTCGTTAAATAGTTACAGAGATGAGAGTTCCCTTCCTGTTCTTTATGATTTGACATGACAGTGAAGTGAATATCATTCATGTTTGGCTATTTTTAGATTTTTATTTATTTATCTTTCCTCAAAACAAACCATTTATCCAGAAATCACCACAGTGCCAGTGATGTGTTATTTAGGAAGCACATTTCTGCTTACAGAGTTGATCGATAAAGCTGAAGTTGTATGGAAAAAGAAAAAGAAGCTCTTGGATATTTTCACACTGGTCACACCAGAGTTGCAAAAAAATGGATAAACCAAGGATTTTGTTTCCTGAAAGTTATCCTGTTAGGAACCCACCCACCCAAAACCAATATGTTTGAATACTGTGCTTATGATATTAAAGTAACCATACAACAGACAAACTTATAAAAACATTGAAACAACCATTTCATAGATTATGCATTAGTGCTGAATGGGGTAAAGAAGAGGACACTAATGCTATCAGAAACTCTCCATCAGAGTTAGGCTCTGATGAGATTAACAAGTCTCCACTGCCAGAGGAGAGCCATGTTTTTTCTCAAGCTACGTCAATATAATAGGATTTATTTTGAGAACAAATATACCCAAGAATGCTTGGACAATTTAATTTAAGCTTGCAGACCATCATCCTCCGACATGTACAATTTGTCCAGAGACAACCCCCCCGCTCATAACATGTATGGTATAATATACGGCTGACAAGCATGTGCCTGATTAGATGAACTTTAGTGGACAAAAAATGTGTTGGAAATCCAATTTTTTGTCACTTTATTTGAACTACTGAATTTTTTTCTTAATTTTTTACAGTCCAAAAATCATAAACTGAGGTTTGTACATGACTAAACTAGTCTATTCCTGTGTAATGGACCGAGAAATACAGCAAGTGTGTCTACTTGAATCTTTTAAACAGCATCTTTGTTCAGAAAAGCCGATCCCTCCTCATAATGCCAGGCGGCTAAAATTGCAGTTGCAGTCATCTTTTCGGTGGCCTTGTACAAATCTTTGGTTAGTTTCCCCTCATTTTCAGAGTTACAATATATCATATTGTTCCTCAAAGGCTATAAAAGGGCAAAGTTCACAGTGGAGCACTTGTTTGCAAAGAAGAAGCGATTGTTTGCCGGGTTTGTGTAATGAGACTGATGGTAGTGAGGCAGAACACGTACTGTAAATACGCAGAAGTGCATGATGAAGACAGGCATACGCAAGATTGTAAAAAGAGCACAGCTCCCTGGGACTTAAAATAGAACATACAGCCCAGCTGGAAAGGCATGCAACACAGATGGAGGGTAGTGCCTAATGTTTATGTTATAGATCAAACTAAAATAGACATTTAGATCATGGCGGCTCTCTGTTATTCTAGAAAGTACAGAGTAAAAGGCTGTTATGAGCACCAATATGGAAAAGATCTACCTAAAGCCTCAAGCAAATTTTCTTTGTGGACATTTGTCTCTGTTACCAGAGAGATATGGGGAATCTGAAGTGACCAATTACTACAGCAACCACTGTGAAACTAACAGCACACTTTTCATCACAACTCAGCAGGAGCCCCAAATCTGTCAGGGGTTTGACGAGGGAAGCTGCAGTGGAATATTTCAGGCTATTTGGAGATTACTCCCATAGACAAAGTAGACGTTTCTCTCAAACATCCTTGTCTGAGTTTGACTTTTTTCCCCGCATAAACATAAACTTTAAAATTACACGCTATGCTAACATGCCTTCTAAGAATCACTATCTATTTATTTTTGGGTTGCAATGTCTTCAGTCAGTGTTCAGGTTTATAAAGCCATTGTCTGAACAATACAAATCTCCCTCTCTGCAGGAAAACTTTATTTTTAGAGCAAACATTTGGGTCAGTGTGAGTATTCCCATAACTTTCTTTTTCAAGTGCATAGTAGAAGCTGGATATTTATGCCCCCTCTGTGCTTCATTATTAGCGTCTCCTCAGAGCACAAAGATGGACTCCTTGCTGCTCTGCTGCCCTTAATCCATGTTAATGTGCATTATCAATCACTTTAAAACTCATGAACTCATGAATGAGTACAAAGTAAAGTTTTGAGATGAGACACTTCTACTTCACACAGGAAGATGAGTTTGGTTTTGATAATGGGCTTCCATCCAAATACTGATCAACAACGGAAAAAAAGTCCTGTGGCTAATTGGTGCTCCCTTTGCCTGCCATCGTAGTAAATTAGGCTTCATTTACTTCTGAAGATATTAGAGGTACACTTAGAGGCCCTTCAGTGCTGAATTACAGTAATAGAGCATGTTGGGAGATTCAGAGCTGTGATGTAATGAGCATCGTTGGCAAGCAGAGCTCAATTGCGTGCATCACGACTGATTAAAAGAGGCAGTAAAAGTTGTGCTTCTTGAATTAACACGAAAAATTATCCAAGGAGATATAAGGATAGGAGCACAGAACATTTTTGCAACATTTTTACCATGTTGCCTTCACACCAGATGCACTGTTAAAATGAAAGAATGATCTGATGTCACCAACTGTCTTCTGGGGAAACACATGCTTTTTAAACTTGCGCTAAGGTATGAAACCAACTTGCCTGCCAGTTGTTCATATAATTGCCCGTGTACTGTACTTTACACAGAGGATTCCACAATGGAGCACACCAACTAACTCATCATATCAAGTGATTGTTATTGTACTTTTTACCACTTGAAAGAATGTGAATCACAACAGTGTCTAGTCTTCCCAAGAGCAAAATAAAATAGAAAAGACAGGAAAAAAAGTTAATGAAAAGCACAGTAAGTGACACAATGGTAGAAGCTCTTGGGAAATGATACCCGCTCACAAAGAAACGATGTTCAGCAGAAAATATTTTCAGTGATAGAACACAAACAC